TGTATGTCTTCATACATGTCTGGAGAACTTTATTTATTCCACTTTGAGCTATCATATACATTGATTTTTTTCATTTTATGTTCCCAACTTTTTGCTCTTTTGCGTTCAGTCTTCAAAACTGTAGCCCCTAGCATAGTATATAAGTTTAAATGTAATTAAGTGATTATTAATACCTATTAATCAATGTTAATATTCAAACCAGACAGTGAACAGAAAAAATAAACTCCTATTTGGACATTATAAGCAATAAATCTATCAGTAAGAATCCATCCTGAAACCAGTGAAGGGAGTCAGAAGAGGTGAGAAGTCAAACCATGTACGGAGGTTATTATTTACTGCTCCAGTCAGAGCCTGTGATTGCTTTGTCTTGAACCTATGGGTCACTGCTCACTGTGTGGGATCTAAGACACAAGAGAAGACCCACAATGAGTGTGTGTGTGTTTGTGTGTGCGTGTGTGTGTGTGTGTATGTTCTCCTCTAATGATTAGCCTGTCATTGTTGAGTGGTGTGCCAAAGTGGCAGACCAGACCAGAGCCCCCTAAAAGTCCTCATTCTGTGTGCTTCTGTGTGTGTGTATTCATGCGGGTGTGTGGCTGCATGAGAATGAGGTGCCGAGACTCGTGTGCATGTGTGTGTGTACTCTTCCCCAAGTCTGGGCGTCAGTATTAATGAGCCCAGATTTCATTTCCGATGAGCGATTATTTGACTGTTCATTTGGCTAAGATTTATGATGAGGCCCTATATCTGTAGCCTGCAGCACTGCTCTAGTCTTTAATAATGGGAAATGAACACATTAATCACCCTGTAGCAGTCAGACTCAGAAAGCAGGGGAGCACCATCCAATCTGCATCACTGGACGAGAGAGAATATCACCTCATATTCATTCAAAAGCCTTATCTGGTACATGGTGGTAGGAAAAAATGACCTGTCTAATTGAATATGATTTAACATCCTAAAAATTGGACGAGAGTCAAACACACACAGAGACACACTCCTGCTGCATTCAAAGACTCGGACAAACCTCTGCCTGTTTGCCTTTTCACTCAATCAGCTGAGGAGGGATAAACACTGTTACCACAACAAAACCACAGGGTTTACGCAGGGTGGAGCAGGACTGCTGACCACAAAACCCCATGAGTCACTGGGATACCTATCACTAACCACACCTGATGCTGGGCCAGAGGTCTGAGATCTTGGAGTCGCCTGAACAAAAGATCACAGGCAGCGCTGCCTTTTCACCTTTCTTAACTATCAGGAGCTACAGAAACACTCACAGAACTAAGGAATAATAGTGACTTCACAAGCATGCCGATTACATTTAGTGGCTGCGTAATGGCCGGATCCGATTCCATACAAACATGTGTAGTTGAGCCTCCCTTTAGAGTAGTAATGTGTGGCATTCTTTGATGAATCCCGCTATCACAGGTCTTTTAAGAGAGGCTGATATGCTGCTAATGTTTACTGCAATAATAAAGTATCTATCAATGTTACCCGTTGCTTGGAAAGTAACATTTCCATCTGGGTTTAACACCTCTGGTCACTAGGGGTAACAGCAAGTGTGTTTTTAAATGATACAACTGCAAAAGTTTTGCTGGAAATGCAACCTTCTAGCCAGACACAATCCTGTCTCCTAGAAATTATTTTTGTATATTAATACATTAATTTCATAAAAATTCAATTACTGAACGCCTTTATTTGAAACAGGCTTCTATTTGGGACAGGGCTAATTATTTTACTCAAAAGTCTTTTTTAGCAAAGATATGAAATACTTTTAGATTGTTTATTTAAACCAGTATGAATATAACATGTAAAACATTGGCTATTAATTAACAACTCACTCAAGCGGGCTACCTGGTGGGTTTAAAAAAATTTCTAGGAAATCCAGACCTGGCCTTTTGCCAATTGAGACCTGTGTTTATTTGTCAAAACACTTAGCCACACAGGCTAGTGAAGGAGACGTGCTTCTGATTGGGACCCTGCTTTTAATTGAAGTTTTACGGTAATTATGTTGTGGTGTCAACGTAATTATGCCTGGATTATGTCCAGAGACAACAATGTTTTTTGACACACTACATTTATGTAATGCAGCAGAATTGCAAGGAGGTGTTTGGGGTTTGGTAGGTGCACAGTCCTGCAACTAAAGCACATGTGTTAAGGTTAGGGAAAGATCATGAATTTGGTTAAATGTTAAATAATGGACTTTACAGTGAAGTAGAAGACATCTTCTGTCCAGCAGGAAAACTTTAGAAATGAACAACGTTTGCATATTCATAGACTCCAGAATTTTTAATGAGGTAGAAGTAGGAGATACCTTTTTAAGGATTTTAATGAGGAAATTATACTTTTTTTTTGGAAAAAACATATCAGACACATTATTGCCATGTCTGGAGGGGATCTTTAATGAAAAAAAAATCTAATGTCCTAAATCACTACTGACTATTGAATAATGCTGTAGTCACTATGTGTGGATAGTATTTTGTCGGAAATATGTTGTCAACATTTTTGCGACTGGTACCTTAATTAACAAAATTTCCTTATTATGTAAAGGGTAATTTGGTCTGCATCACATTTCCCTCAAAATGTATTTGTTGTTGCAAATTAGTTGTTTATAAATGTCATTTGTAGGAGACCTGGCTTCCAGACAAGAACGCTGATACAGTGCTGCAAGCACCAGTATGCATTCACTGACATTCTCTCTACAACAGTGTTGGGCAGTGAGGCATTACTAGTAATAATATAACAATAATAATATTATCTTCCCCAGTACCTAGTAGTGTGACTAGTTACTAACACATTTCAGTAATAATATTATAGGTTACCCGTCAAATAAAAAAAATTTGTAACAACATTACTTTTATTGTCACCCCCTAGTGATTTTAAATTCAACCACCCAATCACATCCTTGAATTCCTTTTTGTAATAATGGAGGAAACTAGGTTGGAAACATTCAGCAGCTGAAAATATCCCATTACTGATTTAAACATGCAAAACTGGATTTCAATTGTTATAAGTTTGAATTTTGGGGAGAAGAAACACAATTACCACTTTGTAGGGAGTAGCAGAAGAGCAATATAACCAGTAGTGTAACTAATTACTGTTGGCACTACGTAACAAGTAAAGTAATAATATTACTTTTGAAAAGATTAACGATTAATAATTAATATTTTTTTGAGTAACTAGCCGAACAATGCTCTACAATATCCG